GATGCCACAGAGTTCCCTAGCCCCTTCACCATGTGAGGACACAGCAAGGTGATGCTAGCTCCAAACCAGGAAAAGGGACCTAACTAAAATGTAATCATGCCGGTACCTTGATCTTGGGCTTTCCACCTCCAGAGCTGTGAGAAATGAATTTCTGTTGTTTACAAGCCCCCTGATCTGTGGTGCTTTGTTACAGCAGCCTGAATGGACTGAAATACTAAGTAATGTATTGACTCTGCCCTACAAAACGGAAAGAGTGTGTGTGTGCTCCCTGGGGACAGCACACTGGCAAGACGGAGGGGGTCATCTGTCATCTGCCCCTGGTTGAAGGTCAACTTTGGCAGCAGGCTCCTGCTCAAACCCAGTTCCTACCTTTATCCTGGGCGATGCCTATTCCAGAGGGCACCCTCATTTCTAGCAACCTTCCCTGCCACCCACTTCTCACACCCTCTTCCATGGCGGCCTCTTGGATATTTCCATCATCTGCAACTGCTCCACCTCAAAATCGCTTCGGGCACAACCTCCTACTTCTCCAGCCTGCTGGTGTGGTCATACCCACTCTGACCTTGTTGGATCTCAGCAAACCTTATTCCCTTGGGCCTCTCCAGTGGTCATTTCCTAGCTTGGAGCCCACACTCCAACATTGCACGCACCCTCTTGCTTAATACAATGTGTTCAACCTCAACCCACAGTAACAAATATAATTTACATATGACCTAGGGCCCGTTTACATATGTATTTACACACACACATGCATACATAGGTCTCTCCTAGCTTTAACTCAATCACAGTTATTTAAAAATCTGACCCTGGACATCAGTTCTTATAACGTCAGCCCTGTGTCTCTCCTCATTTTTACCAAGTTGTTTCAGGAGTCATCTGAATAAACTGTGTTGTTTCCTATGGCTGCTATAACAGATCATCACACGCTTGGTGGCTTAAAACAGCACAGATTTATTTTCTTACAGCTCTGGAGATCAGAGGTCTAAAATCAAGATGTCAACTGTACTGCATTCTTTCGGGGTCTTCAGGGCATAATCTGTTTCCTCAACTTTTCCAGTTTCTAAAAACACTTGCATCCTTTGTCTCATGGCTGCATCACTCCAACCTCTGGTTCCACTGCCACATCTTTCACCGACTTTAACCTTCTTATGAGGACCTTGGTGATTATATGGAGCCTTTCAGATCCTCCAGGATCATCTCCCATCTCCAGATTTCTAACTTAATCACAACCTTCGAATCCCTTTTACAACGTAAAGGAACATGTTCCCAGGCTCTGGGGATGGGGACCTGGGGACATCAGTGGGGTGGGGGGTGCTATTCTGTGTACCACAAGAACCATCTGGGATTTCCTCAATTTCCACTCACTTTTCCTCCTTTTCCAAACTGGCTAGTGTCCCCACTTACCATCTCAAATGCCGCTCGAAAATGTCCTTGACGTCCTCTGCGTTGCTGAAAAGCATGGGTAGTTCTAATTTGTCCTTTTTCCTGACCTCTTAGCAGCTTCTGACATGGTGGGCCAATCAGAATGAGGTGTGGGAAGCACCTGTGGAGGACCCTGAGGTGTGAGGGCTGGTGGCCCGTCCTCATGAGCATCTTCTGCCGTCACTCTAGAGTAGCATCTAGTGGGGATGTGGCTGGCTGTAGGACATGGCATCCTGCAACTGCCCTTGACCTATCAATCCTCCATAGACCTCCATGGTGTCTAGACTTTCTTCATTGGTTGAAAGCATTGGTCAGATAACTGGAGGTAAAGATTTTTCTTTTTTTTTAAAGAAACAGTTTTATTTACCCACCAAAAAGTGCACCTATCACAAATGTGTAGCTGGGAGAATTTTATAAAATAAAACATGTAGCCACCCTTCAGATCAAGAAAAGAGCTTTGCCAGCTCACTCTCATGTCCCCTCCCTGTCAAGAACCCCTCTCCTCCCAAAGGTAACACTATTCTGGGGAAGCCTGGGTGGTTTTAATTTTTTTTCTTTTAAATAGACTTTCATTTGTAGAACAGTTTTAAGTGCATGACAAAATTGAGTGGGAGATACAGAGAATTCCCAAATACCCATAGTCCCTATGCAGGCACAGCCTCCCCCTTCATCAGCATTCCCCATAAGAGTGGTAGATGTGTTACAACTGATGAACCTACATTGACACATCAGAATATGGACCAAAGTCCATAATTTACTCTGGGTTCACTCTTGGTGTTATGTGTTCTGTAGGTTTTGACAATGTGTCATGACTTATGTTCATCACTAGAGTATCGCGCAGAGTAGTTTTATTGCTTTGAAATCCTCTGTGCTCCCCCTGCTCATCCTTCCCTTCCCCCAAACCTCCGACAACCACTGTTCTTTTTTTTACCATCGCCATAATTTTGCCTTTTCCAGGATGCCATGTCATTGGACTCATAGAGTCTGTAGCCTTTTCAGATTGGCTTCTTTCACTTAATACTATGCATTGACGTTTCCTTCATGTCTTTGCAGCTTCATAACTCATTTCCTTTTAGTGCTGAATACTATTCCATTGTCTGGACACAGGCATAGGTTTTTGAAGAAGGAATTGGACTGACTCCAGAGCAGATTTTACTGCTGGAGTATCTTCTCTGTACCTCATGGTGTTAGAACTGACATACTGGCATTCTCTGCATTGAGCTTCTGCCTCCAGAATACCGCTCTCCGAAAACAAGTATGGCATGCAGCGAGGTTCAGGCCACTGCAAATGCACTCATGTCATGTTTTGATGCAAATGGCCCCACAGAGATCAAGTTCTGTTCACTGGGGACAGACTACATGACAAATAGAGAGAAGAAAGGTAATGGCTTTTCCATTCATGTACCAGTTTGTGGAGAAGGCTCTGCTAATCTTCTCCATTAATCTGGGACCCAGGCCCCTTCCGTCTTCTGCCTCCAACACCCCCACAGCCTTCTCATTTCCTTCATCTAGCTAGAGTCACACATGGCCTGTTGGACAAGCCATTAAGCTGAAGTCGTGCTCCCAGGAATAATTTAACATTTTAGTCAGCTGGTCATCTGGCGTGGTCCTGGTGAATGATGTGGTGATGGGTGGACAAAAAAGTTTTAATGATGAATTTGAGGAGGTGCAGGGGTAGGGGTACCAGCCTCGGGAGCTTCGGGGTGGGTGCTGGCCTGGGGAAGCATCAGGTTGACTCTGAGTTCCCCGGTGTGGCTCATAAGGAGCAGCTGAGATCCCATAAAGGAGGCTGGAATTTTCACAACTCCTGCCTTTATCAGGGTCCACCCGTGCGTCCTGCAGGAAAATGCTGACCTGCCATTGGACCACCGAGGGGTCTCTGGCCGGCCTCTCTTGGTGGCTGGTGGGGAGCACGGTGAGAGTGAGGACATTGTTCCAATAAGCAGGACCCTGACTCATAGCCCCAGGGCCCGATGTCAGTTTTGCTGCTCTCACAAAGTGCTCTCGTCCACTTCTCCAAGGGAAATCAACTCAGGGTAGGAGTCCTTGGCTTTCTTCTTTCAAGGGTGGGAAGGAAAAAGGGAGTTGTAGTGAGAGACCTCAGGCCTGGGTTACATGTGAAGGTGGGCGTTCCCACTCTTCACCTTCAGGTTGGCAAGTGTGACAAACCTATAGCAGATGTCATGGTCCCTTTCACTGTGACTTTCAAGGAAGGCCAGGGAGCTGCAGTGGGTGCCCTTTGCAGAGAATCATGGTCAGAGAGGATTTTGAAACTTCAGCAGGGATAACTGCAGCCCGGGCCGTCTGTGTGGGAATAGGGGAGTTCTGAAACTGCCTTCCTCCGCACCCGCTCCGCCCCCTCAGAGGCTACGGGCTGCCAAACCCGGCTCCCACACACTTCACCAGAAAGTCCCTGGCTTCCCTCCCAGCTGCCTTGCAACTGACCTCATGAGGTGTGAGGAGGAAAGGAATCTACATTTCAGATGAACCTTCCTTCCTCCTTTCTGAGAAGCGGTCCAGGCCGCCCACACCTGCCCGGCCATGCAGACGGCTCCTCAGAGCCCAAGGCCCTGTGGTTTGTCCAGCCTGCTTGAGAAGTAGCCAGGGACAGGGAGCCTGTATGAGTCTGTCGGGGCCGCTGTAACAAAGGACCACAGGCTGGGGTGGCTGAAAACAGCAGAAATCCATTCCCTCTGGGCTCTGGAGGCCAGGAACCTGAGGTCAAGGTGTGGAAGGTCTGGGCTGCCTCTGGAAGGTTCTATGGTAGAATCTTTCCTTGTTTCTTCCAGTTCATGGTGACTGCAAGCAATCCTTGGGTTCCTTGGCTTTTAGATGTTATCACTCCAGTCTTTACATGGCTGTCTTCCCTCTGTCTCTTCTCTTCTTATAAGGACATTGTCACACCTGTCAAGGACCAGCCTACTCCAGTATGACTTCATCTTAACTAATTACAACTGCAAGGACCCTATTTCCAAATAAGGGGGCATCTGAAGATCCTGGTGAACATGAACTTGTGGTGGGACACTGGTCAGCCTGTGACAGAGCCCCACCATCCACCCCTTCCCTCCCTTCAGAGCAGACCCTTACCCCATGCAAGATGCCCTGCCTTTTCTTTCCAGTGCCCAGAAGTAGTGACCTCAAAATAAAATGGCATCCCCTCCCTCCAGGAAGGCCCGGCCTAGCTAGTGGGAGATCAGAGAACCCAAATCTCTTCAGGGACAGGCATCTACATGCCCAAGGGACACCCACTTGGAATTTTTTTCCAGCTTTATAGAGATGCTTCAGGATTTCTTGGCTCCTGGCCAATCCCAAAGGGAAAGAGCCCTCTGAGCCTTCCAACGGGCCATTCCAGACCAAGGTTTACAACCCAGATGGGAAAACTGGCACTTGCTCCTTCAGCCTCACCTCGAGCCCAGTTTGGGGTCTTCTCCAGGGGAGCTGCTAAGGAAGCTCCGCCCCCCCATCTTTCTGACTGACCAGCCCCTTCCCCCTGGGGGAGCCGAGGTCCCCCTGCTCAGAAAGCTGTGAAGGAGTGGTGGGTTCCTGGGCCTCTTGTAACCCAGCTGAATATTTTCCAGGTTATCTAACCAAACTCCTGCAAAACCACACCGCCTATGCCTGTGATGGGGACCATTTGAATCTACAGTGCCCTCGGCATTCTACGATAAGTGTCCAATCAGCATTTTATGGGCAAGATTACCAAATGTGTAGTGCCCAGCAGCCTGCCTCCCAGAGGGAAGACAGCGTAGCCTGTGTGGCACCCACCACATTGCAGGTACCACCCTTCATAGATGCTTTAAGATGATAAAGTGGTTCTCATTCTCTCTCCCTCCCTCCCTCCCTCCCTCTCTCCCTCTCCCCGTCTCTCTCTCTCTCTCTCTCTCTGTATATATGCTTGTGATTACACAGTTCACTTAAAGCAAACCTGATCCATGAAAACCCCAGTTCATACAAATCACCAATTTCACGGGTGAGCTATTATTTGCTTCTCAAAAGGATTCTTCACCAAACAAGTCTAAGTGGAATTCCTACTTCCTGGAGAGTTCCCATAAAACACTTGCAATATGAATTTATCCAGAGGCACACTCCTCACTGTAGTAAAGCCAAGTACAGTCACGTTGGGCTTTGACCTCCAGGACCACCCCTCCTGTCAATACCCCAGCAGAGAGGGAAGAGTGTGTATGCTTTAGTGGAAATGACAAGGTCTCTGTGAGGCCAACAGCCAAGGTCATGATCAACTTCTCAGAGAATGCACTGGAGGAAGGGAAACCTCAATCACAGTTGTTCTTTAAAAAATGGTTTGCAGGGTGCCTGAGTGGCTCAGTCCTTGGGCGTCTGCCTTCGGCTCAGGTCATGGTCCCGGGGTCCTGGGATTGAGCCCCGCATCACGCTCCCTGCTTGGCGGGAAGCCTGCTTCTCCCTCTCCCACTCCCCCTGCTTGTGTTCCCTCTCTCACTGTCTCTCTCTGTCAAATAAATAAGTAAAATCTTTAAAAAAAAAAATAAAAAATAAAATAAATAAATAAAAGATGGTTTGCTTCTCCAGTTGTGAATGATGACATTATTCTAGTTTGGAGCTACTTTGGGCAGCCTCTGCTAATTTGTTCTTCTATTGGACAGTACCAGGAATTTGTGGAGGGTGGCTAAGTCTGTCTTTCTTT